GGACCAGACACAAAGACATCATTTATTGTAGTCTCAAGTCACTCGGTGCCACCTTCTTATCAGATAATACTGACATTTAGTAACCCCCAAACCCGTAGACACTGGTAGCAGCTCTGCAGAGCAGAGTAATTCAGAAATAACCTTTGGTTTACGCGCGCAGTCACTGCCACTCCTCAGTGTTTCTTTACGCACAGAGAATTTCCTTCTGCCTAAATCTTCCTCCGTTCCTCAAACCAACCTCTTCACTCTCCCTGTGCAGATGGAGCAGTGGAGGAAGAAATTGGCTGTCAGACTTAAATCAGGCCAAATATTCTCCACGTTCCTGTGGCGCTACTCTTGAAAGTCCTTTCAATATCCACCAGTCAGGGCGGGAAAGAGGGGGTTTCATTAAAACACTAACTAGCCAAGAAACCCCACAAAAACAATGCTTTAGCGTGTTAACTGAAGTTCTTCGGTTTTAATTGCTATTTACGGGGCAAAGTCTTGGATCGAACCGAGTCAACATTAAAATAACTAAGCTGTTGCCCTAAACAAGAAGCTTGTTTCACCAATGATCCTCTCCTAGGTAGGTTTCAACCCACAAGCCTGAAAGAAAAATCGATACAGAAAGAGGGTACACAACGTAGTGAGACAAGCAAATTCCTGCAGATGGCAATTATGCAAGTTTTGCATAATTAAATTCCCCTTCGGACTGTGTGCGTAGCGCGAGCGAGAGTAATGCCTACTGCTTTCAACAGCAGGAAAACCACAGTGCAAAAACACAGCAAGTGTCACAGACTGGTGGCACAACCCATTTCACATGTCCCGCAGGGCAAAGTGCACCTTGCCTTTCAAACAGGCAGATACTTCAAGACTGGGGGAAAAAAATAACTACTAAACAATCTCCTGCCTATTCAGTCAAATCCCTAATGACGTTACTGACGTCACTCAGCCTGACTGTGACTTCAAAAATGCGATGTTCAAAGTACTAAGGCTTCTCAGATTATTCATGCTTTTCTGATACTACCACGCTCAGCTTATGATTCATTTTAAGCATTCAGCTTCAGCACGATTCAGGAAACAGTCAAAACCATAAGCTGCTTTATAGGCCAAATTTGAATCACTTCCCTTTACCAGTAACACGGGGGGCTGGGACCTCTCAGCACTGGGACTGAGGCAGGCAGACGATGCTCAGCAGCAGTATCCCACCCTTCAGGGCCATTCAGACGCTTTAGGAAGTTAAGCACAGGGTTGCTGCTTGGTTTGTGCCGGTGAGACTCGTGTAGGTGGCTCTCAGAAACCCCACCGAGCATCTGCCTTAAACTGCGGACACAGGGCTTTGGTGGCATGGTGGAAACACCTCCCTAGTGCTTGTTGCTTTTACTTAAATACCTAAGCACTCATGCTATGCATTAATAGATTACAAGTGACATATCCCTCCTAGATTGACATGCAGAAATGAAAATGCAACAGCCAACAGCTTGGAGAACGACCCAACATAACTGAAGAGCAAGGCAATCTAAAAGCATTTGCATTACAAAGAGAGAGGAAGGGGAGAAAGAGGCTTGGAATTCCCCTCCCCGAGAGATAAGGAAGAAAGCATCTTTATTTTAAACTGGTCAAACCTGAAGGTACAAATACTTTCTGCCCTTGTTGTCAGTTAAAAAGTGATTTCTCAGTATTAAAGACTAAGAATGTTACTACTGAAGCCACCACAGATACACAGCTCATCGATTTACTTCCTTTTAAATGCCAGCCATTTCATAACTTTTTACAATTTTTCTGATATTCTAGTCCACCGTGTTTTAAACGTTTTCTTAATACCCACTAGTTTTGAAATTGAAATTAAAAAGAGAAAATGCCACATGACCCACACCACGCTTACCTGTTTGAAATTGTAGATTTCTCCGTTGTAACAAAGCCACAGATAGGGGAATTTCTTCACCCGGATGGGCTGCATACCATACAGCTGATCGACGACCGCAAGGCGGTGGAAACCAAAGCAACAGTTGGTGAATCCATTGACGTTCTCGAAACGAAAGGCGTCAGGACCTCTGTGCGCGATCTTCATGGCGCTCAGGCACTGCACAGAGAGGCACTCATCGCTCCCAAACAGGGCCCAGATACCGCACATGGTGAGGCTGCCGATCTACCTGGAAACGGAGAACCTGTTCTGTGAGGACAGGAAGATGAGAAGCAAGGGCTGGCACCTCGAAAACACAGTTAATAACTGTAGGCTCTTAATTGCCGAACTGTCGAGAGGGCTGCTCGGGAGAACAGCAGGCTTGTCTAACACGAGGTAACACCCAGTTTGCCCAGAAATACGATAAGCAGCATTTGGCCGCCAAGAGATAAGGCTTAAGTTTACCTTTAGGTACACCAAGGTTGTCGAGGATGTTTTTTTTTATAGCACTAACCGTTGCTGGGCATCACGTATGATGTGTTGAAGTAAAACGGTAACAGCCCTTTCGGTTGGCAGCCTTTCAGCGTATAAAGGGGGCTTGCAAGAGAGGCAGAAAGAGGCCTTTTACCGAGGCCTGTAGTGACAGGACAGGGGGCAACCGCCTCAGACTGGAAGGGGGTCGCTTTAGACTGGACTTCCCCAGCACCATGATGGGAAAGAAAGGCGGGGGGAGGACACACACACACACGACTGTGCTGCCCTTGGCAGCCGCAGCATCCCTGGAGCTGGAGGTTTTGTGGCCCTCCGGACCCTAACGCTAGAGGTGGGCTGAGGCCCCACAGGTCAAGCGATGGCGCCGGGGACCCCCAGCCCCAGCGCCGCGCTGCTGCGAGGGCTCACGGAGCCAAAGGGGGACACTGCGGCCACCCAAGGGCTCCGCACCAGCGCTGCTCCCCGCTCCCCGCACCTTCCCTTCTCATCCGGACGGGCGATGGCGCTGGGGAGCTCAGCCTCAGCACATGGAGCCGGGCTTTCCCCCCACCCCGACTGCGGCGGCTTC